GCCATTTTTGTTGTCAGCAAAGGTTACTTCAAGATTCGTGTTATTCTCCTAGGAGAGTACTTGCAGTTCATAAGCATTTCTCCACTTTCTTTATCCCCTTAGGTAAGATTATCCACCAAGGCATTTGAGGCATTCCCCAAAAGTAACTCTTGGTTTTACTTGTCTTAACTCTTTCAAGTGCCAAAGATTATGGTGTAGTTCTGGAACTTTGGAATTTGCCACACCAGTCCACCTTCTCTGGAGTCATCTGCCCCATGACCAAGGTCTTACCCCTCTGGTCACTTTTACATCAAGGAAACCAAGTTTACAATCCATGGTAAATTTTGACATCGTAAATCCCTATAGAGTTTTTACTGAAGAAAAATAGTTTTGTGCAACGTCTTTATAACAAATTGAAGACTTTGGTAACTTTGGCAAATAACCACCAACCAAATCTCAGTCTGAGAAAACTGAGGAGGCTGCCCATGTGGGCCAGAATGAATGGTTTCTTGTGTGCAAACAGCATAAATTTTGTGACTTGACATTTCTCCAGGAATTGCTTTTGTTGTGGCTTTACTTTGAAACCTGTGATATTCTATACAAATCGAGAAAAATATTCTGCATCTTAAGTCAGCATGGTTCTCCTGACTACAAGGTTAATTCATTGGCTTAATCCACATTTATCAGTTCATTGTGGATCACTGAGGTGCTGCAGGCCTTCTGCTGTGTGTTGAAGACCCGGTTGTGTGTGAGATGTAGTTCTTGCCTTCAGGGAGCTCTCAGTCCCTGCGGGGAGGCAGATACATAACATATAAATAGATAAGACGCTGTGCCATATGGAGAGGGCCTAGGCGTTGTGGGATCCTAGGCGAGAAAGTAACTTTGCTGAGGGAAGCTGGAAGAGCCTTTATTGTAGACAGCAGAATTTGAGCTAGATCTGAAATAATGACCAGAGACTTCCCACATAGAGAAGGTTTAGAAGAAAAGGCATTCTGGTCATAGGACGTAGCTTGCCTAAAGACTTAGAAGCATAAGAGGACTTGGTGGCACAGAGTTCAAGGAGGCTGGAAAATAAAGTACAAAGAGAACGGCAGATTAGGCTAGAGAAATAGTGTGTGTACCAGTTAACTCTTGCTGCAGAACAAACCACCCAAACACTTAGTGGCTTAAAGCAACATTCATTTAATTTGCTCACGATTCTATGGGTTGTTCTCAGCTGGGTTCTTCTACTGGTCTCACTCGGGGTATCCATCACATGGGTGCAACTTGTCTCTGCTTCACGTGGTCTGACTGGGCTTCCCCACGTAGCAACATCAACAAGGATAATGAAAGCAGAACCTGCTAGAACCTGTAAGACCAAAGCAGATGGAAGCAGCATCTCCAGCCCTAAGGCTTGGAATTCATACATTGTAATTCAAGCATATGCTTCATGCCATACTCTTTGGTCAAGATAAGTCCTGGCCAGCCCAGATTCCAAGGGTGGGAAAATAGATCCCACCTCACAGTGGGAAGAGCAGCAAAATCACACTGCAGAGGGGCCTAGGAACAGGGAGGGGGGCAGGTGTTGTGGCTGTCTTTGCAAACAACGTAGAGGGTGGTGAAAGCAAATTGTAAAGTCCTGCCTACAGGGTGAACAGTTTGAAATTTATCCTAAGGGCAACAGGAGCTATCAGAGTTGTTGTCCTTGTTTTAAAGATTTACTTACTATAGGGAGAGAGAGAGACAGAGAGAGAGACAGAGAGAGGAGGGGCTTGGGGAGGGGCAGAGGAAGAGGAAGGGAGAGAGAATCCTCAAGCAGGCTCCCCACTGAGTGAGGAGCCAGACTCAGGGTTCCATCCCAGTACCCTCAGATCGTGACCTGAGCCGAGATCAAGAGTCGGCCGCCTAACTGAGCCACCCAGGTGCCCCTTAAAGGTTGTGTGTGTGTGTGTGTGTGTGTGTGTGTGTGTGTGTGTGTGTTGTGGCTTGTTTTGTTTTGAAGTACTATGGTAATAAGACTTTTTTGCTCAACATCCCTTATTAAGGAACCCTTCCTCTCCTACAGTCCGCTTGGTTACTGAAGAAGCCATCATGTTAAGTACAGTGGCCTACCTTTGGATCAATTGTTTGGATCAGGAATGGGCCAACCAGAATCCTTTCTTTAGATTATTTTTCTACTATAAATGAGAGTTGAACATTGCCAGTACCTGAGGCTGTCAGATGCAAACCTTAGAGAGTGCCAGGGAGTTATGTTTGGGGCTGTGTAAAGAAAGCCACTCTGCAGAGAGAGGCAGAGGTGAGAGACAGAGCCCTGATGGTCTTGGAGGCCGATAAATCGGACATCTCTCTTTGCCTAGGCTTTTCACATGTGGCTTATCAGCTCTTGGGACCAAATGAATCCCAACTGACACAAAGAGATTAACACCTACGAGTGGGGAGGTGCAAGTGACAACATAAAACTCTGAAACCAGTTGAGTTTGAGACTCATGATTATTTTCACTGTTTTTTACTGGTATGTAAGAAAACTGTTGCTTTTCATATTTTGTATGTAGCTACCCTACTGATGGCTTTTCAGCTGAATCTCTTGGGAGTTTCCTACACCAAGAATCAGATTATCAGAAAACAATTATATTTTATCTTTTTCCTTTAGTTTATATACGTGTGTGTGTGTGTGTGTGTGTGTGTGTGTGTGTGTGTAATTTTTTTTCTTGTCTTGCCTGGTTTGTAGAACCTGCAGAATAATGTTATATAATGATATTCAGCAAGCTCATCCTATTCCTGACTTTATAAAAAAAAATTTCTAATGTTTCCATCTTAGGTATAATTTTTATAGTTCTTGTCTGTAAAATACTCTTCATCAGAGTAAATTTTTTTTCTTGCGATCTAAATTTAATTTGAATTTTAAAAATTTGAAATGGATATCAGACTTTGAAGTAATTTTTCAGTAATTAGCAAGTTCATACTACTTTCTCTATAAGTCAATTATATTAACATATTTATTAAGATTGAGTCATCCTTACACTCTGCAACAGTCCTCACTTGTCTTGATGTAGTATTGCTTCCCTACAGTTTTGAATTTGATTTGATAATATGGGCAGTCCGTGCTTTGCATGGTGCCCTGTTAATTGCTACTCATGCATATCAGAGCTGTGTATCAGAGCCTTGTCCTTGTTTTGCAAGATTATATAACATGCACATGTCTTATTTAGCCTGGCACTGTGCAAAACGAAAATTGCCTGTTTATATTCATATACTTTTTTTTTTGGTGTATGTGTCAGATTTGGATTAAAGAAAAATGAAGATCCTTTCCCTTTCCTATGCTCCAAAACTGTTTAAATACAAAAGCTGAATAGACTCCATAAAGCCATCTCCTTAGGAGTGATATATATCTCTGACAATCATTTCACTCTATTTTGGGGCTCTTCAGATCTTTTACTTCTTATTGAAACAACGTTGGTAATTTATATTTTGCTAGAAAATTGTTCAGGTTACCTTGATTTTCAAATTCATAAATATAATGTATATAATGTTCTTTCATATTATTGATTCATTTTCTATAGTTACTGTCTTTCTCATTCCTAATATTGTTTAAATGGGTATTTCCTTTCCTCTTCTTTCTCTCTCTCTTTTTGTCAACCCTCCTAGAAGTTTATCAACTTCATAGACTTTTCAAAGATTACATATTTTCATTTTTTAATCCAAATTTATCTTTTCTAGGTCATTATGTTTTATCAATTCATTCTATTATTTTTGAATTTCGTTTCCTTTCTCTAGCTTTTTGAGCTGAATAATCAGTTTGCTTATTTTCAATACAATTTTCTAAAAAAGTCATTCAAGACTATGATGTTATGAGAGTGTATTTAGCAAATCTCATGCATTTTGACATGGAATATTTTCAGTTTGATTCATTTTTAACTCTAAGTCAGTTTTTATCTTCTCTGTGGCCCAAGGGCAGTTAGAAGAATAAATGTTAACCTGTATAGTTTCTACTTTTGAAAGGTTGTCCGTTGAGACTTTCTTTTGTCCTAGAATGTGTACTTGACCTGAAATGACTATGAGCAAAGTCTAGTTTTCTCTTTCTAGCTCCCTCTTGAAAATAAAGCTCTCTTAATGCCCGGACTTTCTTTTCCTCCCACCATGTCCAAGTGAGGATCTCTCTCTAATTGTCAGTGCAGTCATTAAACTTTCTGTATTTTTTGAAAAATTATTGATATTGCAACCCTATGGATCATTAAGCCAGTGATATTTCAGGGCCTATTTGGATATAATCAGGTGAAGAACTAAGGTCGTTAACTTGCTCTGCAACCCAGACATATCCGTCATCTTTCCCTAATGGCGCTGTATTTAGTGCCAATAGGACCCAATAGTATGTGCAGATTTCAAGGAAATCAATACTGGGATGATTCAGAATTTGTAAATTTAGTTCACAAATTCTTTAGAGAGAATGGTTGGATTTTACTGAAGGAGAAAAGAAAAGAAAGGCTTTCCAGAGAGAAGTGGAATAGTGAAAGGCCAATAATCATAATGAGTATATACATGTATGTGTGTTCTTCACTATTTACAAACCTTTTTGCATCCCCTACTTTATTTAAGCATTACAATAACCCTTTGAGAAGGTCTTTATTTTTTTTAAGATTTTATTTATTTATTCGAGCGAGAGGGAGGGAGAGCACAGAGAGAGAAGGAGAGGGGGAAGCAGGCTCCCCGCTAAGCAGGGAGCCTGATGTGGGGCTCAATCTCAGGACCCAGAGATCATGACCTGAGTTGAAGGCAATTGCTTAACTGACTGAGCCACCCAGGTACCCAGAGAAGATCTTGATTATTGTGTCCCATTTTGCTGTTTGAACCACTGTAGTTCCATGTATGGAATCGAGATCTTCTGCTTGAAGTTCTTTCACTGTATCATGCTAGGAATCAACCCTCTAGAGGCCTACAAAATGTTTTGCCCACAATACAGCCCCCGGTGAGGATAAGGAGAAGGATTAGGGTCTGGCTATTTGGGTTTCCTCAAATGTGTAACCTCAGTGTTTGTCTCATTTGAGATCCCTGCAGCGAAGTTGAATGAGCTGCTCGAGAATTTTTATGTCACCGTTAAGAAGAGCGACGGCTCCGACTTCCTGGCCACCTCGCTCCATGCCATTCGCCGAGGCCTGGACCGCATCCTGAAGAATGCAGGTGTGGGCTTTTCCATCACAAGCAGCACCTTCAGTTCATCCACCAAGAAACTCAAGGAGAAGCTGTGGGTGCTGAGTAAGGCAGGCATGTCGGGTGCTCGTTCTCGCAATATTGTCTACTTCTCTCTTTCTGATGAGGAGGAGATGTGGCAGGCAGGGTGTCTAGGTGATGACAGCCCTATCACTCTCCTGTCCACTGTGGTCAAGTACAACAGCCAGTACCTGAATATGCGGACACTGCAGGAACATGCCGATCTGATGTATGGCGACATCGAGCTGCTCAAAGACCCCCAAAACCAGCCCTATTTTGCCCGGACAGACAGTGTCAAGCGTGAGAGCCGGAGTGGTTCCACTAGAGTGTGTCATGGGAAAATCTACCATGAGCATTCCAGGGGACACAAACAGTGCCCTTACTGCCTTCTCTACAAGTACATGTACATCCACCGGCCACCCACCCAAATGGAGGCCAAGTCGCCTTTCTACCTTACAGCCAGGAAGGAGGCCACGGACATGGGCAGCGTATGGTATGAGGAGCAGAGGATGGGACTGCGGTCTCTCCGGGGAATCGTTCCAAACTTAGCCAAGAAGGTCAAGCTGGAAAACTGTGAGAACTTCACCTTTGTCTCATTTACTCAGGTGTCCAGGAGGCTTGGCTCCCACACTTGCTGTCAGTGAGTCTCCCCTGGGTCCAGGCCACTGCCCTGCTTACCCTGGGGGGCAAGAGCGCCCTCGGGCAACCAAGGCTGGAGCTCTGAGGTGGCAGGGAATGCCGGTGACTTCAAGGTCAGGCTAGTTTCTGTCAGTGTGACCTGCTATTTCTTTGACTTGGGGTTTGTTTTTTACCTGAAAGTAGATGAGTCTGAAAAATTAGGGTATTTTATCCAAATGTGTGTCACCTTTGTTAAATTATAGAATCTAACACCATGTGTCATCATTACATACAAGAGTGAGGAAGTTCATTTTATCTAGTGCCTTTTTAGCACAGATTTTCTTAAAAAAAAAAAAAAGAAGAAAAAGAGACTGTTTAAGTAGTCATTAAAAAAAACTCCCAGTAGCCTAGTAGCTTTAGAATGTTACGAAGACTTTATATACTTTGTTGACTCACACTCACAACAAGCAACTGGAAGGAGATAGATAGACATGTTAGCTATTTCCAGGAGAAAAATTGCACTTGACACTCCCCTCTCTATTTTGCTGATGGATAACTTGGTTCCGCAGAGCAAGCAGCTCTGCTTGATGGAAGCTGGTGGGGCTGCACTCAGTAGTGCTGATAGTCCTGCTCTCAGCACCAGGAGCGACGTGATCTCTGCACCCACAGAGACCATTTTCGTTTTACGAAGAAAGATGAGCGCACCAGAAGATGTTTGGGAGGGCAAGGTTTCCAGTGAACTAGATGGTTTGTACCGTGAGGGAATTTCCAGTAGTGAAAAAGAAGTGGCTTGGAAGAGCAATCTGTGATCAAAATATGAAAAACCTCCTGACGCAGAAGTGCCTATGTTTTATTTCTCAGCACCACGTGAAAGCTATTTTCATTTGAACATTTTTTTTTAATTTTAACAATCTCTTCTTCGTGTCATACAGTTATTGGTTAAGCATCTAGCACCAGATCTGTAAAACAGCGAAAGGTGATTTTCAGGCTTAACCAGGAAAATCCAACAAAGCAAGCTGCAAAGAAAACAAATCCCACAATGTGCTTTCTTAACGAACTTTGAAATATGTTGATCAGAGTATGACTTTCTCAGCCACCATAGATGTCATCCCTTTGGCTGGGCACCAAGTGCTTGGGACATGATGATGTAGGCAGCATCCCAGGTAAGCAGACTCAGCATTTAGGATATAGTTGTAAAAAGCAAAGCATGATGATAGGTTATCGATGCACTCAGGTAAACTGCAACCTGACCACATGTTATCGAAATGTTAGCAGAATTTTCTGATAACCACTCTGAATGAGAAGTGAAGAAAGGAGCCCAAAGAGTGCTAATCAGTAATAATAATGTCCAGGAATCTTTAGGTTGTATTTGAGGAAAGACTGCTACAACTTTATGTTCCTGTGTGTGCTTTCTAATCCAAAATTAAAATTCCAGTCTAAACTCATGTTGCAGGAGTCCTAAAATCAGTCCTAGTTCTTTTTCAAAACATTATTTTAGTATTTAATTAATTGTTCTTCAAAATCATTCACCAGTCGTTGAAATATGTAATCCTTCCTTTACCAGAAAAGACTCAGCCAATGCTGCCTTAAGGTTAAATGTTGTTCCCTTTTTGGTTAAACTGCACGTTTATAATTTTGCTTACCAGTGGATCTTTCCTGAATATGGATTAATTTTGGTATGTCTCCATGTGTATGTAAATAACGTAATATTTAATAATCAGTGTTATGATTTGATATTGCATACTATGCTACTGTGATTTCCGATAGTGGTTTTAGGATTTTGCTTAAAAAAGAGACACAAAGCATTAGGTTCAGTTTCCTTTAGTTTGCTAAACACCCAAAGGATATTTTGTGTTGTAGAAAGCAGATGGTCATTTTTCCTGTCAGTTCTGCACTGAAATAGAAATATAACCCATGTGGACTACTGGGCAGACAGAGCGTGCAGCCTAATTATATAAAACCTCCATTTTTATTTTAAATAGATTCAAGAGAAAACTGCCATTAGGAATCACTGGGATCTTTTCAGATTTTAACATTCCCATAAGTAGCAATAACTGATCCTGAGGTTGTCATCCTTCTGTTGACAGGGGCTTTTCGTCAGCTGAATAATAACCACCTCCACCTCACATTTGTTGCTTATCACTACTTGATGTGCTATAAATCCCCAGAATTCTGAGGTGAATGATTATAATAAAAAAATCAGGAGGTGGAATCTTCAGTGATACCTGATAGAATGAAAGAACTGTAATCTCAGCATCCTAAATGCCACGCATTTCATGCCTCCCCTGGGGAGTGGGAGTGAGAAAGAAGACGCATTGATCAGGCGCTACTCCGCACCACCCATTGGGCAAGGCACTGTGTTAGGTGTGTGTGTGTTAGGTGTGTGTGTGTGGGTGTGCAACGCACACTTTACACATGGGGACGCCTGGTAAACCTGCTAACGTGGCAAAGTGCCTCCTCAACTACATGATCACGTCCATCCTCAGAGGATCTGAGGCAGGACAGAGTAGAGTAGCTAGTTGGGGTGGCCATTGGGCCCTGCCGGCCACCCGCCCGCCCGCCCACTGGGGGACTCCATGCTCTTCCACTCTCCCCAGAGCCAGGAGAAAGGAGAATCTCCAGAGAAGGGAGAGGGGAGAGATTAAGGGCATTTACTCCACTTACCTTTGTTTATTTATTTCACTCAAAAGTGGGAACAACTGTCAGGAACTCACGAGCTCACCTAAGCACAAGTTGCCTCTGGCTCCGCATCAGAAACCGTGGAGCTACAGGTATTGGGGGGGGGCTGTGCAGTGCTTTGGGGGAGCTCTTACCCAGGCACCTTCTGCATCTGCTCTGACAGGAGCCCTGCTAGCCTAGTTCCTCCTCTCCAGATCCCAGCAGTGTCCCCTGGGGAGTTTATTCCTGCAGAGGTGATGGGGGGGTCAGCTTGGAAGGGTGTGAGCCCATTAAAGGTAAAGGTTAGTTTAACCCCGGCCTAGGCGCGTAGTAAGCACGCAATACGCGTTGGCTATTTTAGCTACAACTCTTGGTAATAGTAATAATTAACATTATTCAACTAATCTGCATCACATCGTTCTTATTTCTTCCATTGTGGAGATTCTCCCTCCTTTAAACTGTTAAACTTGAAGAGGAAACCAAACCCGATAACCTGGTCACAAGTCTGCCCATAAATTCTACCTCCAACACAGCCAAGCCCTGATACCTCAGCTGTAAGCAAAAACACGTGAAGAACGGAGATGCCTTAAGAGGCTTTATGAGAAAGCTTTTGCATTGTTTAGTGTGTCTGCAAAGGGGAGTATTTATGGAAGAACCTAACCAAAGTCTTGGAAGAAATGGTCTCCTTGGTTGTGTGGCATTTTCCAGCTCTCCTTGGATTATGTGCTGTATTAATAGCTTGCCCTGACTGCTAAATGGTGTTTGAAGAAATGTGAAATTCTATTACTTGGATTTTTTATTTAAATTCGACCCGATTAAAAGCAGCAAGCCCTGCATCCCAGCATGTTCATTGAGAGTCACTGGGAGAATCTGGACAAATTAACCTTCATGTGGAAGCTGAAGCCTCTTGCTCTACTAGAAAGAGAATCTGACCGGCAGCTCCTTCCCTACTCGGCAGTTCTGGGCTCAGTCTCGTCCGTGATAAAATGGGATCATTGGAATGGATCATCTGCAACGTGAACGGTTGTATTACAATTCCTGAAGCCCATATAGTTAGGAAGCGGCAAAACTCAGAAGCAAAATTCCCAGTTCCTCAACATCATATGGTGAATCTCCTTAATTTTGAGAGCTTCTTACTACACTGGAACACTGTCTTTTGAAAAAATAGTTTTCTTGAATTTTCAGGTTTCACAACTTTTCAAATTATTTTTGTGCTGTCTCCAGGCAGCAAAATGTTGATTACTTTTCTCAGTTTAGGCTAATGATAACATTTTAATTAGTTAAGTAAACAGGATGTTTAAATATTGTGTTTATGAACACCCATCACTTCGTTGCTTTTACTGAAACCTGGGTTGCTAACCCCCCTTTGAGCTAGTAACCAGGTACCTTTAGGCATCAATAAATGCAAACAACAAAGACCTCAAAGTTACCTCATTTGCTCTACATGAGATCCAATTTTGTCTAAGTTAGGCCCCATGCACATTTAGAAACGGTTAACAGTCCTGAATAGAAGAACATATTAAAATTTCAAATTCACATATATCTTTAAATGTTTTTGCTTTGGGGTTGAATTTTTAATGCTCTGTATTAAAAGAAAAACATTCAGTTGTTTAGTCAATGTTCTTAAAAATCTTTGTTGCTTTTCCCCCATATGAATTAATTACCTTCGTAGAAATGTGAGTGGAGGGAGAGATTTGTGGTGACCTAAGGACATGTTCCCTTCCTGAGAAAAGAGGAGGCCATGTGGGGTGATTAACTTACCTCCCGGAATTCCTATGTATTCTGTGTCCATAAATCTGACATCACAGGATTTCCCAAAACTCCTTTGACAGAGGCTGCCCATCCTTCTGGCAAAGTCTGCCAATTATTACAATTTTACAGGCTTCTAGTTCTTCACAGTTCAAGAAATCCAGAGATGTTTCTCATGTTTAGTTGTTGATCAGAATCAGATTTCTATGCTCAATTATAGTGCTTTATTAATCTAATGCAGCTGATATGGAAGTTAGTAATTTCAGGAAATATTTATTAAAGCCAAAAAAAAAAAGATCACTGGGTTATATTGGATGCATATTGCTTCCATTACTGTTAAAAGCAATTAGTTAGATCCTTCCCCCACAATGAGATGAGAATGAGTTCCTAAGTGTTTTATGGTCAAAATAATTGATTGATTAATTTGCATTTAACTGTAGTTATGTTACAGTTTAAAAAAGTTTCTAGAAGGTTCACATTTGACCAACACTGTGGTAAGTGCTTTCTCACAGTTGCCTCATATTCTCACCTAATCTCACAACAACTCTGCAAGGTAGGTCTAATTATTTCCATGTTACTTATCAAGAAACCAAGGCTCAGAGAAGTTAAGTAAATTTCCCGAAGTCTCACCGAGCTTATTAGTGGGAGACCTTAAGTTTGAACCCAGGTCTTCTGACTCCCAATCCAGTGCTCCATTCATGAGGCAAAATCTTTCAGGGGCACAGAGGGTCCATTTATCACAAAAGTTTAAAAAAAACACAATTTCTGTTTGGGAAATACTTCATTTCTTAAGTCGTATGGTGGCACACCTTATATGTTCTCTCTTACTAATTGACTGGTCACTTGGTATGATGGAAAGCCTGATGGTTTTCTGTGAACATTCTACGTATTGAAAACTTTCTGTCTTTATCCAGTAAATAACTTGTATTACCTATTATCTACCCTAATGGGCAGACGGTCACACCAATTTATTCTAATAAAAGTCAAGTAGTTTACTAACTGCACCTGTTTCAACATTCGTATCATTGCTAAAATGTCACAATGATATGTTCATGTGTTTTACTTCTGCTTTTTAAATTTGATGTCAAAGGACTTTTGTAATCTTTAGGCTAAAGCACCCTCATAGCAAAATATACTTACCGTAGTCATGTGTTTTCTATTCCTCTTTCCTTTATCAGGAGATGTTTATTTTCTACTTTGAGACTTAAAAAACAATAGGTTATAAGTAACTCTGAGATCGTGGAGTCAAATTCCCTCATTTTACCAATAAGGAAATTGAAGCCCAGAGATATTTAAGGGGCCATCCAAGGTTAACAAGACAGGAAGTAGATTCAGGACTAAAAGTAATCCAGAACTGTTTCCTCTATACCATAGCTGGGGAGATTTGGATTTTTAAAAACTAATTATTGAATTGCATTTGGCAGAATGACATCTGGCTAGCAGGAGTCCCCACTGAACTCCCAACTTCCTAAAGAAACACTCATAAAAATCCCAAAGAAGGCTAAGTCTCAGTTCTAGAATCTAGAAGGAATTGGTGCAAGTGATGAGGCATGCAGTAGTGGATTGAGGCAAAGTCCTCCAGGTTGTAGCTCACTATTTTCTCTGGCTTCATGTCATGACATGGACATGCTGAGAAATAAAAAATGTGAAAGATATTTAATAATCCATTTTCTTCACCATCCGTGTCTGTCTGCTTACTCTGGATCAGATCTCCTGAGTCAGAGAAATAATGGACTGATCCTCCTCTTAACCAGGTGGCAGACCATGAAGATTCTCTATCCCACCCTCTCTGCCTTCTCCCTGTACCTTCTCTTCATTCAGTCCAAGACTCCCAAAACCTTGGGCTAAAATGTGAGCAGAAAGCCAAAAGACCTATTAGAGGCATGGTGCATTCTGTGAAAAATGTCCTGTAGATGAGGACAAACACAGCTAAGTAGCAGGATATGCAAATACTGTGATTTTTCATGAATGATACTGGTTCAGGGATCCAGAAAACAATAGGAAGGACTAGGAAGACACTTGAGTAGAAAAGCATTAACCTTGAAATTGGACTTGAAAATATGTGCACCTCCTTAGCCACCATGCCATCCATATACCCACAAAAGAGAGTTAACAAACGTACATGGACAGCACAGCCAGGGGCAAATAGTGGATCTAGGAAGAGAGGACCATAGTTGAGGATGAGTAGAGAGGAAAAAAAAAAAAAAAGCAAAAAGGGGCATATAAAAAAATGACTGAACCAAGGAAAATAAACAGCTTCCAAGAGCATTTGTAAATGAAAGCAGTCTACTATGAGAAACAGGAAAATGGTAGGATTCTTCTGGTTGTAACTGAAAGAACAGAAGAATTGCTTCCGTGCAGCAATAGTTATCTAAGAATGAAAGTGGGTTTAGAGAAAAAGGTGCTAGAATAAAATGAAAAAGAAGAGAGATCAGAAAGAAGAATTGCAAGGAAGCTAGAAGCACAACAGATTACAAAATCCACAGTGAAGCTGAAAAGAACACTAGAGCTTAGAAACCCTGAAATCAGTAATGTGAAGGACAGACTTGAGATTTTCTTCCTCATGCTCTTTCAAAAGAAATAGATGAAAGCAATGGGGAAAGGTAATGGATTTGGAAGACAGAGCATTAGCTAACATTCCTGGGGTTTGCTTTCCTGTTGGAAACACTTTATTGAAAAAAAATAATATATATATTATTAATAATATATATATATCATCAGACTATAAAAATGAAATCTTTCCTGAACAGAATGAAAGTCTATGTTTTTAGGATGAAAAGACTCACTGCATTCCAGCTCTACCCACCTACCCCCCCCAAAAAAAAGGGGAAGAGACTTGTACCCAAGCATTTCCTGACAAAAATTTTAAGTACTAAGGATATAGAATGAAAAAATGCTGCAGGCATCTAGTTAAAGTTAACAAGTTGCCTATCAGAAAACAAAAGAGCTTTCTGGCTTCAGCCTCCTGCTCTATAGCACCAAATGCCAGGAAACAATAGGGAATTTTGAGGGGAAACATTGTGGAATTCTGGAATTTGATCCATGTTAAGATACAAAAGGATTTTTAGTTATGACAAGCATTCAGGAAATAAACCATTTACGGTATTATTCTAACAAATTGTACTGTAACCTACAATGTTTGGTTTTTTTTTTTTTAAAAAAGCAATTTTTACTTAATATAATCTCAAGGGACTCTGGGGGTATTACACACCAGATCATTTACCCACTAGATGAAGGATATGTGGGCTTTTAAATAGGTAGGATGGCTGGAAGGCACGTATCTAAATGTGCCCATCCTCACATGAGTGGGCTTCCCTAACGCAAGAAAATGTACCTGAAAATCATTGCCGTATCACAGCATCGTGTTCCTTCATTTTTGTCACTGAAGTAATGCATCGTCATGACCGTATAAATAAAGAATTCAGATTCATCCCTTACAGATAAAATTTAAATTGCCCGCAGGTTCCCCTGCTCCCACTCAGAACACAAGGCGGAGAGGTTCCCTTGCTGTCAAGCGAGCCCAGGCAAGGGGTCTGGGAGCCTGGCCTGGAGCTTGTTGGGGTCATCCCACCTGCTGTCCCCGCTCCTCCAATTCAGAACTAACAACACGTGCCAAACTAGAAAACCATGGAATCTCCATGATCCTTGTTTTAGAAAGAGAACCAGGGAAAACAGACCCTTGTTTTAGAATATCAAAAAAAGTTCAGTCTCAACAGCAGGAAGCTGGCCTGGGGCAGTGACAGTGCTTTCCTTAGCTGTACTCGAAGTTTTAAATTCCGATATTAAGGGAATTGAAGCAGCTAAAACAAAAACAAAAACCCCAACAAACCTAATTAATTACTTCTGGAGTCTCCTGTCAGCGTTATAACTGAAGCTGGGTTGTTTGGTTTGGTTTCTCATTTGCTTGCCCTGGAGGGACTTGAAAAGACCCAGGAATGTTGAGTATCACTGGCCTTAATGCTATACTTCGTGGCACTGCAAAGGTTTATCTGTGCTCCGAGTCTCTTTGCGATTTGAACTCTCAATTTTCGACACAACCAGCATGTTTGCTTTAAATTCAGCAATAGAAGAGTTAACAGGTTGCTTTGCATTTGCTTCGTTTTTCATTCTGAAGCACAGCAAACCTCTTCCAGATGGAGAGAGTCTCTTCTGGATGGGTTCCCAGGGTAACCTTTTTTTCCAGGGTCCCCTATCGCTTGGCCGTGAATGACAAAAGTCTGTTCACTGTAACTATTTAGGTGAGAAACGCGATGCTTTTATTTAGAATTTTAAATATTTTCTGTGTGGCTATATGTTCCAAATGATGGCAACAAAGCTGTGTCCTAATGTTTTCAGTGTTGTGGGTATGTTGGGGTTTGTTTTGTTTGTATGTTTTTTGTTTTTGTTTTTGTTTTTGTTTTGTTTTTTTTTTTGGTGTAGAGGAGGGTATCTATCATTTCCTAACACTGGAAACATCACTCTGAATAATATAAGAAATGATAAGTAACTTGAACGATTTTAATGTACCATTTTCAACTTTTTCTTTCTCCGCCCACTGATGCCTGTGCGTGTACACACGTGCACATGTGCAGGTGGGGGCATACGTGTGGGAAAGCACATGTGGCATCTGTATTCTGTCGTAGTGTCAGAGGTGGAAGGGATTTTCTTGTTCATCTAGTCCAGCTCTCTAGTTGATAGTCTATTAGAGTCTGTTGACGATTTGCAAGGTTCTGGGTTTTTTGGGCTTTTTTTTTTTTTTTTTTTTTTTTTAGTTGTTTGGTTTATGTATGTGCAGCTTGACTGTTTAACCCAGATTTTTGGAAATAAAAAAAATTAATGTATATTTTGTCTGTTTTATTAAAATAACTTAGTTATTTAAACTTAATCAGCAGTATGTATGGTTTCTGAATTTTTTCTTTTCTTTTAAAGATTTTATTTGAGATAGAGCGAGAAAAAGAGAGTGTGTGTGTGCACAAGGTGGGGCATGAGAGGGGCAGAGGGAGAGGGAGAAGCAGGCTCCCCGCTGAGCAGGGAGCCCTACTAGGAGCTCCATCCCAGGACCCTGAGATCATGACCTGAGCTGAGGGCAGATGCTTAACCGACTGAGCCACCCAGGCGGCCTCTGAATGTTTTTTATTTTCATATCACATTCCTGGAAGTGATGTTCTCCTTTGTAGTTTACAACATAAGGACATTTTGAGCAGTGCTTTGCTCACATGCTACACTCCTGAGCTGATGCTCTGAGTGAAATTGTTCTGGCTGCCCCTCCCTCTGGTTCTCCAGCTTGGATTTCTTCACTGGGTGGCTGGGAGCCCATTTAGGAAGCCCTTGTAGGTGACTGTATATTGTCCATGGTATACATGCACCTAATTAATGTTTCTCTGCTCTCTAAATTATTATTTTTGGTTTTGGAAGAGTATATTTAATCCTGAAAACATTTAAAATAGACATTTACGGCTCTACATCATTGCTGAAAAAAAAGAAGGTTCTGAAAAAGCTTTCCAAATGGGTATAATGGCGATAATGGTGAAAAGATGAGATGTTTCATTGGGAATTATTGACCCTCGGGCAGACTGGCTGTCGTCTCATTGTCCCACTTAGAGCAGTGCTTTTTAAAATTTAAACTTCTGGACCAGTTTAAAAATTTAACAGAAGATATTGACCATTTATTTTCTCAGGAAAATGCATATATGGACGCAGCATTTTATACACAGAAACCCAGGCTTAAATACTCTTGCATTCAGTTTTATTTTTTTAGGAGCTGTCTTTTTTGAGATCTAGTCTGAAAGACTGAAGGATTTGCTTCAGCATAATCCAGAGGGGGGTAGTGTCAACGCAAATGTAGATGATACACAAATTGGCTTAGAGTAGGTCACTGTTGGAGCAAGGGGTCCATGCGGGTTTGTTATACTCTCCTCTGTCCTTTTGTACGTGCTTGAAATTTTCTATAAGGAAGAGTTTAAAACATCAACAACAAGTGCCTGGAAATCCTACCACCCTTCTCACGGACCCCATAGAATCACAGAATCTTCCAGCTGAGAGGAAGGACCCAAGAAGAGATTAGAGTAAGGATGCTGGCAAAACCAGGTAAGACACCCACACAACACCTGGGGTCGATTTTCAGGCCAGAATGCTGGGTTGGAGAAGGACTGGCAAGAACTGGTGACATTTGAATTGTTACTAGTAACAGTACCTCATTTGCACCTGCCAGATGGGACATATTTCTGTTCTCTCCCTTTACTGCAGAAAGTAGATCTGTGGAAATCTTGAGGGGCCTGATTCCAGCAGCTGCAAGAGAGCTGTAGTCATGAGGTACAGATGGAGACGTGACCCAGTCCCGCTGAGGGTGCTGGGAAGGTTGCACACCCAGCCTGGAGGTCCAGGGGTCCGGGGTAGCACATGGTTCTCTAGGCCTCAAGGACAAACACTCCCAGGGGTTGCCATGGAAACAATGTGCTACCAAGACCTTGAAAGGACCAAAGAAAGTGCAGGCGAGCATCAGCAAGGGACGTGGAGTGTGGGCAAATGTGCCAGTGGCCTGGGCTGCCCTCACTCTCACTTAGGTGCCAAGACATTAGTTTCCAGTGCCTAGAGGAGGGTCTCCGTGACCATAGGAGAGCCTATGCTTGGCTCATTCAACTTGTTTCATCTCTTTTTTCTTGCCTTCTCCCAGATTACGACCTGGAGCCTCAGAAGGTGTACAATCCCGTCTTCCTTCCCCAATGCATTTTCTTTTCCTTTTCTTCCTTTCTGTTGCCCTATATCAGTTCTCCCCCTGTCTAGGAGCATTTTCACTACTGTTTTTTGCTGGTAAGACACTAGGGACAGCCACGAAAGATATTAAACAAGATATATTTCAGCAATAAACAAGATTCTTGTATTTCTCACGGGATCCCAAAGAAATAATGATGAGAAATAAAAATTCCTGCTGGAGTATTTACAATGTACTCAGC